CATGGTGTGTTTAGCCTTGACTTTTTAAAGTTTCCTTCGGTCTCCCGGTCAGCTTTCCCAGGGATGCGCCCTTCTCTTTCTTTCCAAAAAGGCCCGGACGAGCCGTGGAAAGAGACTCAATGATTTTTATCGTGTTCTTTATTGTTTTTAATAATGAAGTAATCGGTGGAGAATGTTACTGTAATCACTCAAGCCAAGATGGGAAGGGTTGTGCTCATGTGGAGGTTTTGCAAAGGAGTGATTCTGTTGCAATGCAGTGTTTCTTGCAAAATAATTATGTGTGTGTGTGTGTTTAATTTTAGAGAAGGGGACTCATGTTACCTTGCTTGACTGGCTTTGCAGTCTTCTGGCCCCAAACAGTAGCCCAGCAAAGAAGGGAGGGCACTCTGCACACGCACAGAGACCCAGTCTTTTTGTTGTTGTTGTTGTCATTCTACATGAAAGCGTGAGGCTCAGAATGATCCCGGGTAGAGACAACCCTTCAGTTATGCCCCCACCACAAAAAACACAAACAAAAAACATGGGTCTGGCTGATCCCTCCAGACCCATTGGAGGTTGGAAGAAGTGGGGAAAGCGATTGTTCCTCTCCACCAAGAAAGGGATCTTTGCGAAGCTCACGGGTCAATTGCTCTTGCGAGACTGAGCCACCACAAAATACTGCAGCATCAGGACGGGGAACGGGGCAGTCGCAGAAGTCCATTTCCTCTTGGCTGGTTGTGGATGTGGCAAATGCCATCAGTGGTGCTGCTAATTAAAAGTGTGCGGCCGCTTCCCTGCCAGCCCTGGTTGTGCTATGCTTCTGCAGTGCCGCCTCTGCCCCTGTGGTCTTTCGCCGATCAGTCTCGGAGGAAGAATTAGACTGCAGCTACCATTTGTGACGGGGCTGGGCAGGGAGACAGTATAAATATTCTTTTAGCTGTTGGCCGTAATAACACTTGCAAAAAGAGTAGATTGTGTGTATCCAAACGGGCAAAACCTGCAGGGAAGTAGTGGTACCTGCACTCCTGTTTTAACTTCACCTGAGCCAAGGTCCTGCTTTTTATCTTCAACGATCATCTTGCAAAAGGAGAGGAGAAGCCAGATGACTCTTCAGACGCGATGTTCCTTGCTTATCCCCCCCTTAAAAAATGCATAACTCCCTTTCCAGCATCGGCTGGCTTGGCAGCATCAGCCCGTTCTGTTCATTGTTCTTTTTCAAAGCAGTTTGTTGGATGGCTTGCCGTGTCCAACTTGATCTGCGATTCGTTTCGTGGTTTTGGATGTGAACACATCTGCCTTGGTCCATTGCTTTCGCTGGATGCCCAATTCCTCTGGAACGCTTTTCCGCCACCGCCCCTGTGAAAGAACTCCCTCCTGCAAAATCCCAGATCTTCACCTTGTAGCAAACTTGGGCACTGGGCAAAAAGGGAGGTGCATATCCCCTCTTTCTCTTGCTCACTGTCTTTCTCTCTGGCCTAATTCTAACCCCAGCCTTCGTGGGTCAAATCCGGCCAGCTGGGGTTCCAATTCAGCACTCGGGGGCTTCTCCCAGGACCACACTTGATCCATCCGCCGAGCGTTTGCAATTTTGCCCTCGCCCCTTTGGCTGTTGGCAAAAGCTGAGAAACCACCGAGTGGGTGGTGAAGGGGGGCAGAGGGGTGCAGCCAGAGCCACAGATCTTTTGGGGAACCCCAGAGAGTTGGAGGCTCTGCACCCGTAAATGCCGAAAGGCTTAACACTGTCTGAATGTCATTCCTAGGCGTTCATGGGAGGGGAGAGGAAAGCGATCCTCTTCCCTTCCAGTCTCTGGCACTGGGTTTGTTTGCAAACAGTTCTGTCCAATTTACCCATCTACCTTCACTTTCCCTAGTCAGCTGGCTGGTCTCCTGCCAAACCATCATCCTCACCTGCTCGAACTCTGATGGGATTAGCTGAGGCGAGACATTCTCAAGTCTTCAAGGCCAGGGGCATCTTCTCCCAGGAGCCATTTAAAGCTAATCTTTATCCCTGCAAGCAGAAAAGTGCTTCATATCATTGTCATTTGCATAACTGGAGAGTGGGGTAGGGACCGGTTCTCTTGAAAGGCTGGGAAGGGTGTCCTTGAGCTCTTCTTGCTCCTGGAATTGCCACATGCAATGAGGTTAGTGAAGGGGCCTGGTTCAGCCAGAGTTCGATCAAGTTGCTAGTCCTCTTTGCAAGTCTCTCCTGCCCCACAACAGTACCCACTTTAGCCACTTTTGGTTTCAAAACTCTTTTAAAAACAGGGGAAAAAAATATAAGAGGCCAATGCAGCCTCCATGAAATGACTGTGTTTGGACAGTCCTGACTCACCAGGTGACTTGGAAAGTGGCAGTTGTTCAGTCTGTGATAAAGGCCACGTGTTCAGTCCCGAAGGAGGCCCGTTTTGATATGAGTGTGGGTTGACCTGTCTCCCCACAATTGCCCCATGGATTTGCTGATCTATTCAGAGGCTGGGGGCTTGAATCTCCCCAGAGGCTGTTTAGGGGATCTGTCACTCACTGCAACTGGCATGCAGAGCGTTGTGAATAAAATGGGCCAGGCACCTGAGGGCAGTTCCAAATTTAGTCATCCTTCAAGTGGAACCATTGAAATCAAGGGAGCTTCTGTTAGTTGTGGTTAAGTCTGGATCTGGCCCAGTACATGTGTCTGAATTTTCTTCCTTTTCTTTTTTCTTCTGAATTTTCTTCCTTTCTAATATGCAACTTGACTTCCTTGCCTGAGTTCTCCAAAGTTCCACTGGAGCTTTGGATGGGGAACTCTTGGACAGAGGCTGGGATTTGGCTGGATCAGCTCCTGGGGGCCGTGTGTCTGCGACCCCCGGCACCCCGGACAGGAATGGAAAGGGACGGGTGGCCGTTGCGACTGGCAGGCACTACGGACTCTCTGGCTCAGCTGAGCCAGGTATAGGTGCTGGGGATGCAGGTGCCTGACCTTGCATGGCCGCAATCTTTTGCCGGTTGTGTTTCAAACCCCAGCTCGACTCCCCTGTTCTGGCCACTGACAGGAAAGGGCCTGAACTGGAAAATTCCCACCCTCGAGTTGGCTGCCCCAGGCTGCTCCGGACGCCATGCAGCACCTCCTGCAATGGATTCCCATGCACAACCCCTGTTGCTTTATTTATTTTATTGTGGAGTTCTCCAAAGGGAAACAAAAGCAAGCAAACAAACAAACAAAACCCCAAAAGAGAAACTAGGTAAAGTCCCCTGAAATCAACAAATGCTGATATGTAAATATCCAAATAAGAAGCCAAATTATCCAAATAAGAAATATCCAAATAAGAAGCCAAATTTGGAAGCCAAATTAACAATTATGCAGGGCGGACCGTGCGCGGATGCACAGTTGGATACATGCATCTGTGTGTCACCCACTCAAATACTGAAAATGCCGTTAGTCTTCTCTGCATCCGGGGGGAGAGGGTGCTTTTTGCAGGCCTGTGTTCAGAGCCTTCCCAGGGACGTGTGGCGAGCCTTAGAGATGAACCTGTTGGCTTGAGAACATCCGCACAGACCCCGAAGCAGCAGCCAAGCTTCGGGGGGGACATGCTCTGGTTGTCCTTGCTGCTACAGTAAGTGGAGCCCAGCCTGTGGGGAGGGGGCCGCCGAGCCGCTCTTTCGGCGTGTTGACCTTTGAGCCGTGTTTGCATTCAACAAAGGGGCAACCTTTCCCACACGTCCAGGATGCTGTTTCTGATGCAACCGCCTGGTTCTCCTGACTGGCCTAGGAAGATAAATGGAAATGTAGCAGCGATATATTTGGATTGGCCATCTGATACGGTGCCACGAAAGGAAGATTCCCAGCAGGATAAAAATACCCAGGACTGGATTAAAACAGGGCTGGGCAGACAAAGAGAGGAAGACAGGCAAAGTGAGGAGTCGTTGGTGACCCTGAGCATTTCTTTTATCTTGGCAACCGTGTGTGTTGTCTTCTGACATCGTGGTTCGAAAGAGAGATGCTCACAGGAGGAACAGAAATGATGGGGGCTTGTGTTATTTGGGGTGAGGGGGCAGGGCTTCCTTTTTCAGTGATGCAGTCCGAAGCCCAGGCATCTCTGCCGTCTCTGGATCTCCTGAAGGTCAAAGTCCCACCCGCAGTCTCACCGCCAAAAGTCCCTCAAACCCCGGGGCTTCTTGGTCAAGACTTAATTTGGGTTGTGCTTTTCCGACTGCCGCATGTCTGTGGGAGGCAGTTTCTGATAAATACGGTAAAAAGCAGCCGGCTGACCCCCACCGTGTAATTTAAAATAAAAACTACATCACAGGTATTAATCACAAGGAGCGGCCTGGGCGGGGAAGGGGAGCCTGCTCAGTTTAAAAGTGGCCAGTGGTTAGATGCACTTGGTTCTTCGTGATGTAAGAAGTGGCTCGCTTCGACTGAATTCAGGCACTGCTCTTGGGTTGACCTGCCTCACAGACATGCGCATTCTCTGCCACAACAGTCCTGCTAGGCAGTCCAGGAGCATCAGCCCAAAATTAAGGCAAGGCAAGGAGGAGAAGGCATTGGCTTGCCTGAGGCTGCTGCTTGTTAATCCAGAGATTCGAACTGATGTCTCCTGGGTACTGTTCTTTTGGCTGCCTTGCCACTTTGCAATAGGACGAATCTGGTACCGTGGTCTTGAGGATTAGAAACTTAACTTTTTTTAGAAGAAAAAGCTGAGATGCTCTGCCTGTTCTATATTCTGTGCTTGTTCTGGCAAATCGTGCTTGTAGAATAATTAGATCAAGGGTATGCCCTGAAGGTCTTTTTGGGGTCTCAGGAAGGGTTCCCCAAGCAGGTCTGAGCCGTAGGGTACAGAAGTGAATTGCAGTTGGCAAGATGAAGGAAGGAACCACTCTGTGGTTTATGAGCCAATTTCCTAATTCCCCTCTCTGTTTCTCCCAGCTTCCCTTCCCTTCGAGCCCTAAATGGTTGATTATGAGTCACCAAGTCCAGATAAGCAATGTGGTTTTTGCTTCTCCTTTTATTGCTTTCAAAAGGTCAACAAGGAGTTACCAGTTCCGAAATGCTCGAGGCCCCCCTACCCCATCCTCCAGGACCCCTCTCCCCGTAGCTCCTTTTACTGACCCACTTCTGTAAGTCAATATTTAAAAATGGTGGAGGAGAAAGATCAGCCGTTCTGTTGTTCTGGGTGTTGACTTTCTACCGATGTTTACTCTTTGCAGGAGGTTTCTTCGAGGCACTAGAAAGGCCATTCTGTGAGTGTCCTCCAGGGACCGGAGGGGCTTTGCGGCCAGAATGGACAGGCGGAGCGGATGCTGAGGCTGCAGGGGGAGTTCCGTATTGCAAGGACGAGACACGGCTTGGAAGACAATGGGCTCCTCACACTGGGGCCCGACCAGAAGGTAGGGGGGTGTCCTACCTGACACATTCTTTTCCATTTCTGTATCTTTCACAAACAGAGGTGAACCTTTCCCTTACTTAATGCCATCCAGGTATGTGGCAATTTTCAAAGAATGAGGCAACAGGTCACTGCCCCAAGGAGCTTACAAGATAGCAACACTGATTGATTGATTTATTTTTCACAAAGTGGTTGGCATCCCGCTTGTCAAACCATGTTTGGCCGCAAGAAATGGAGCTTGCTCTTTTCCTGAATTCAGGAGGAGGACGTGATTCCATTTGTCCCCTGTGCAATTTAACTCAGCTCTTTCCAGGCTGATGTCTTCCAGATGCATTTGTCTACAGTTCCCATCATCCCCTAACCAGCATGTCCAACGGCCTTGCTAGCTGGGATCAGCCCATGGATTGGAAGGGCCCCAGATTGGGGAAGGCTGGGCGAAGTCCTCCCTCTTGCTGGTTTCTAAGACTTGAATGCCCCCTCCTTCGCTTGCTGGTTTCGCACCTTTCCGATGGGCTCAATTGCTGGCGGAAAGAGCTTGAAGGGAAAGAGGGGGGTGTTCAGCCTGCATCGTCCTGCAGGGGCTGAACTGGGGCCCCCAGTTGGCCACACGCTGGAGTTTTGGGGCTCCTGGTTGGATGTTCAGACATGACGCTTGACCACGCTTCAGTGCTGGTCCCACATCAGTCCACGGCGCTTCCTAACCAGTCTTGAACACACCACAAAAAGTTTACACTAAATTAGGAATCAGGCCATCATTTTCTCTCCTTTGTAACATGATAGTCACACCCCCCAACTCTGCACACAATCTGATTTTGGACCCCAGACCAGGAAGCACTCCCATGCCTCCAGGGTTTTGTCCTCCATCACGAGGACTGGAAACTTGCCCCGGGCTGTGCTGCGCTCCCCTTCCCTCCCCCGCAGCAGCTTTTTGGCTTTCACATTTGTGCTAGTTGGAGATAATGGGGCTAAAAGGCTTCCTGGCTTCCAAGCAATGAAAAGGAAGACCAAGAAGAGGTTGTTTGGCTGGATAAAAAGAAACCCTTCTCCCACCTCCCGGGGGTGTGCGGGGGGGGGGGGGGGCTGGCCAGGTGCAGCCAGGAATGCCTTTGATTTCCTGTGTGTCTGGGGCAGTCAGGTAACAATATTCCCTGCAGGGCATAAGTAGCGGTGGAGGGGAGGGCCTCCCAGTTCTGGCTTCCCTGCCTTCCAGATGGATCTGAATTGTTAGGAATCCCCAGATGTAAACAAGCAGCCTTCCTTTTTCTGCAAACAAAACCGGGGGCCTGAGTAAACAGATGCTAGAGAGGCAGAGAGGGACAAGATCAGTTGCATGGATAAAAGCCTCCCTGTGAGCAAGTGGGCTCGCCCCTGGGACTGAAGGAGCTGTGCAAGCTGACAAGACACCCTGGATGTCCAGGGTGTGCCCCCAAAAGGCAGGCGTTTAGAATTTCAGGCCAAGGGACCCAGAAGGGGCCCATTTAGATGCCAGGAAGCACTTCCTGACAGGTAGGACCCCGAGGGTGTGGAATGGGCTTCCACGAGAGGTCGTTGAGGCCCCATCAGTGAGGGTCTTCAAGGATAGGCTGGACGTGCACATGGTGGGCATGTCGTGAGCGGAGCCGGCTAGAGCCAGGGGTCAGACTAGATGGCCCGGGAGGCCTCTTCTGTCTCGCTCTGTTTCTATCTGGCCCCCTGGAGATACCGAGTGGGCCACCAGGCCTGCTCGTGCTCTCAGCTTCCTTCTTCTGGCAGGTGGAGGTCCGCGGCATAGTCAGCCCTGGGCAGCCGTCCTGCTCATTGAGGACGGGGTGGTGCTGCCCCGGCGCTGTGGGGGAAAGGCTCAGGTCCCAGCGTCCTTAGTTGCCGGTGCTGGTGATTTCTCCCTGGTGCCCGTTTTGATACTTTGGCCACGAGGTTTCCTGGCAAGGCCACTTTTGACATCTGTTCCCTCCTGGCCCTGGGCCGGAATTTCCAAAAAGGGGGCTGCACTCACTGGACCATTTCCGGGGGGATATTTGAACGAGAGGTACAGACCAAAACAAGCTGCGGCAGAAAGACAAGGCAGGGCCGAGAGTGCAGGCCTGCCCGGCTTTTCTTTTGCAGCTTCTCTCCTCGCTCCTCGGGAAGCTGCTTGCACTAAAGTCTTGCTGTGTGACTCACCTGCACCTGCGCCGGCACACCTGTGCTTCGCTCGAAGCGTCAGCGTGCGTGGGCCGATCCCTGCCCTGGGGCGCGTGTGTGGCAGCCTGCTGTGGTGCCACAGGTTTGGTTGGCCCCTGCCAAGGCAGCATCGGAGGCACCCTTGGCTCGACAGGGGTGTCGCTTGGCGGCCAGACTTGGCCATGCGGTTCCCTCTCCCTCTCCCGTGACTTCCTCTTGTCCAGGATGGTTGTTTTTCAGGCAAAGATGGAGGAGTTGGGAGCAAATGAGTCGGCTTGGTAAAGTGCCGGGCAGCCCGTGCAGAAAATGGCCCGTGGCCAGGAATGCTGCGATGGGGCAGGCCACCGTGTTATGGTGAAATGTAATAATAATAATAACAACAACAACAACAACAACAACAACAACAACTGTGATATATATGCGTTGTGGGAATATTGGAGCGGCTAAATCCAGGGGAAATCGCAGATGCTTTTAAAACGAAAATGTAAAAGCATGGATGAAATAACGCTTTTGCCCACACACAAAACTCGCACTCGGTTTATTTGGTCCTGATGCCTGTGTCTGGCGAGGCACCCTCTGAGAAGCTGGGTCAGGGAGTGCTTCTTTCAAAACAGTCTTAGAACGGGGCAAGTTGCTTCTCGGGTGGCTGTCTGAACTTGCCTGTGCATTGAGTTCAAATCAGAAGCCACGTAGAAACAGTGAGTCCAAAGGGGCCTCCCGGGCCATCTAGTCTGACCCCCGGCTCCAGCCGGCTCCACTCATGACATGCCTACCATGTGCATGTCCAGCCTATCCTTGAACACCTGCACCAATGGGGCCTCAGCCACCTCCCGTGGGAGCCCATTCCACATCCTAGGGGTCCTAACTGCCAGGAAATACTTCCTGGCAGCCACCCTAAATCTTGGTTCCCTGAGCTTGGCTGCATCAGAACCTGTCCTGCCCTCCAATGCAGGGGGAAAACGGTCATGACCCACCTCTGCATGGCACCCCCTCACGTACCTGTATGTTGCTAACGGGTACCCTCTGAGTCTCCTCTTCTCCAGGCTGGAGAGACCCAGTTCCCTCAGTCTCGCCTCATACGGCACCCCCTGCAAACCGGCCACCATCCTTGTGGCCCTACGCTGCACCAATTCCAACCTGGCTATATCCCTCTTGTAATGAGGGGCCCAGAATTGTATATAAGAGCAGGTGAGGCAAAAGGCAAAGGGATGAAAAATAGCATCCCATTTTAGCTTAAAGCTCTAATTGTCAGTAGCTAAAACCTGAACACCTCCTGGGAAAATGTGCTTCTTGACTATCAGATGGTTAGAGGAACCAGTGAGGATATTCCCATCATGCTTTGCTTTGGGGAGTCACCCATCTGGCTCAGTTTTGCAGTTTGACTCTTGCTGTGTGCATCCAGTTTCTAAAAACGGGGATATTTGTTCTTTTGCAAGACACACTATAATGTTGCGTCCCTGTGAGTGACGGTGGCGAGCGCCGCGGTGGGTGGAGGGATATCACACGCCTCCCGGGGGGGGCGCTATCTTCCCATCTCGCCCCCAGGAGCAGCAGCAGCAGCTTTGACCCAAAGGAATTATGCTGTTGGGGCTTTTTTATTTCTAGGTTTTCCTTGGCTGGCTTCTCCTTGACTTTCTCCGTGATGATAGTGTGCCTCAGCCAAACCGTTGGAAAGGTGAGTCACCATGCAACAATGGGCTTACTCATGAGTTGGCTGGAGGAACCCAGGAGGAACCTAGTGACCGTTTCCCCACGGAACTGTTGCTGTGTTTGGTGGCTAGAGATTTAGGGATTGTGGTGGAAGAAAATGTCGTCTTGCTGTGCAGCTGCTGCGAAAAACGCACATTCTGCAAAATTAAGACAGAAATCGAAAGTATAACGTGCTACCTGTAATCTAAATCTGTGCTGAGACTGTGTGGAACCAAGCGTGGCGGTCCTGGCCCTTCCTGCTAAAACGCAGGATTGTAGAGTTGGGAAAGTGCAGAAACGGCCGCTGGATGGATCCAGGGCTCCGCCAGGAAAGGTTGCCCCTCCCGAGACTGCTCAGCACTGGGAGAAAGTGTGGCCAGGGAGCTGTGGCCACGGAAGGTGGAGAGAAGCGCTCTTGTCTCCTCCTCACCACGCCTGAGCCCCGCAGGGTCCTCTGAGGGAGCAGATCAGGGGCGATTCGGCTTGGATCTTTTTCACACAGTGCAGAGTTAAACTGTGGAATTCACAGCTGCAGGATGGAGGGAAGGCCCTCACCCTTAATGGCTTTCGAAGCCGGCAAACTGCATTCCGGGCGGAGAATACAGCTGCCTGTGACCACTAGTGCTGATGGCCCTACGCTGGCTCCGGCAACAGAGCCATGTGCCCGTGCACAGGGGAGCAGGCTGGGGTGCTGCTTCCGCGATCTTGCCCTCCGTGGGCTGCCCCAACAGGGCTCTTGTTACGGCCCTAGGTGCGTGTCATCCCGTGCTCAGGACAAGCCTTCCCTAAGCTGATGCCACCAGGTGGGGCCCGAAGGTTTGCAGGGCCAGCCCCAGGTGCAAGAGGAGGGTCTCCCCTCTGCTGCCCTCGGCACAGAGCTGCTTGCTCATCGGGGCAGCTGTGTCTCCGTGGGTCTTGCTTGGTTACCGCCCGTCCTCAGTCACTCAGAGAGACGTATAGGGCACACCGGAGCCCTCTGAGCGCAGTGAGTCCGGAAGCATTTACAGAAGACCCTTTTCTCCATCCCGCCACCAGATGGTATGAAAACAAGCGTCACAGCTCGGTCCTTCTCGGGAGTCAGCTAACACTTTCAGCTCGGAACTGACCCAAGACTAGTGTAATTTTTGACCCGGGGGCCACCAAACATCTGGGCTTAATTTTCTAGGCATTTCATTTAGTAATTTCAGCTAGAGCCCTGGGATGGGTAGAAAGCTGCGTGTTGCATCACCAGAGAAAAGTCCAAACCCTTCTGATGACAATGGCAAGTGGAATTAGCCGTTCCAGCCAGAGGTCAAAACTATTTTCTTGTTGTGGCATAAATACGGTCACCAGGCTTTCGCAGACGCGGAGCCCTGCAGACGCATTGGACTGCAACTCCCATTACTCTGACCACTGGCGATGACAACGAGAGGAGTTGTAATCCGGAACGACGCCAAACTTTCCCCGTCTGCGTCAGGATGGCTGAGAACAGTGGAAGTCGCAGTCCAAAGCAGGTTGCACCTGGCCGTGAAAGAGCCCGCTCACTGGAAACCGGTTTTGGGCGTTCTTTGGTACCATCACCACCCCGGGGACTTGGTGGGAGAGGGACTTGGGGACTGGGTGCCTCTTGAACCCAGAGCCTGCAGCAGTGGCCCCCATTCCTCTGTGTTTCAGATCAGTAAGGAATGTTTTCTGGAGGTGAGGTGGAGTTGTGGGTGCGTGTGTGTGCTTGTGATGGAGTGGTGTGTGCAGGGCAGCAGAGAAGGGGTAAAAGTGCATCTGGAGCTGAGAGAGGTCTCCTCTGCAGGAGGTGGGCCTTTTGCCTTTTGCAGGGGGTGGGGCTGCCCGTTTTAGAGGTGGGGCTTCTCAGCGCTGAGAGGAGCCCCGGATCACCTCCAGGACGTGCGTCCCAGCGGTCCATCCCTGGCTTTCGCTGCCCGGCTCTTCCTGCAGCCCCTGCAGCTTCGTGAGAGAGCAGAACCGGGCCCCCTTTGCCCAACTCAGAAGTGGTGCCCCGTGATCCGCCGTGCCGCTTCTGTCTCTCCGTCGCCGACTCACTCCCTGGTGGTGCCAAGGAGCCCGGCTGCTGAGCAGAACCGCCTTTGTTTGACTAATAATGCCCTTTTTTGGCTGAAAAATGTGCCCCTTTTGGACCTCTCCTCCTTGATGGGCCTCCAACGTCACTGCCGGACGGGGAAGGAAACAGCTGCCTGTCCACACAGTCCACCAGCTGGGGAGCATCTCCTGACACCCCAGGCTTCTCGGCGGCGGGGGGGGGGGACGTGAAGGCACGCTGGAAAGGGGCACCCCGGCCAAGTGGGACTGGGACCCTCCCCTGCCTCTCCAGAAGGTTCAGGCCCTTTCTTGGAAGCTGCTTTGGCTTGGCATCGACGAAGAACAGGGATCTTTCCAATGGGCTGACAAATGAAAAAGGAGGAAATGATAGAAGGTGTTTTGATCAAGGCAAAACAAGAATTTGCCAGCGTGGGAAGGGCTTTTGAGGATGTTGCTTCTAGCCCTGAAGGCAGAGTTGTGCCTGCTTACCCGTCCTCCTCCAGATTCTCCCATGTTGCTCTCAGGTGTATGCCACTTCAGAGCAGAGTGCTGCTGAAGCTGGAGGCTCCACTCCCAACTTTCAGGGCTGATGATGTCAGGAGTTCAGACCCAGAGAAAAGACTCGAGTGCTGTGGCTTTGCTTTAATCCCCATTTAAAGTCATCCAGGGCTGGGGCTGCCACTGCCTCTCCTCATGCGGCCACAAATTCCACCGGGCAGCCGGGCCTTGTCTTTGCTCATCTGTCCTAGATTTTTACTGGTGCTCAAAGCAAGTTTGGGGCAACGTTAAGAAGGGTGAGGACTTGAGGGCTCAGCAAAAGTCGGGGGGGGGGCAGGCGGAAGGGGAGGTGCACCGGGGGAGGAAATCCATGACGGCACGAGGTGGGCTGCCGATTTCGGGAAAGTGGTCTCGGTGGAAGAGGAGCTGTGGCGGAAGAGTCCTTGCTGACCCCTCCCCGTTCTCCCGCAGGCCCCCCAAAGGACGCCTCGCCAGGCCTCTGAGGACGACAGCTCCGGAAGCCGAGCGCGGGGAGCCTGGGGCGCCTGGGGCGCCTGGTCGGGGTGCTCGCAGCCCTGTGGCCTGGGGGTGCTGGAGCGCAGCCGTGTGTGCCAGTCCCCCTATCCGCGGGTCCCCTGGGCCGGGAGGACCGAGCCGGTCCCACAGCCTGCCTATCCCCAGCAGCCCCCCTACCCAGAGGAGAGAGCCGCCAGCCCCTATCCTGCCCGGCCGGCCTACCCGCTCCATACCGAGAGGAACGTCAGGCCAGCCCTGAGCTTCCGCGGCGGCACTTCCGTGCTGCCCCTGCACAGCCAGCCCCGCTCTGCGCACACCCCCTACGGCCCCCAGAGCCGCTACACCCGCCACGAGGCCTTCCCCGCGGAGGAGCTGCCCCTGGCTCCGTCCCGGGATGCCGGTGCCCCGCACCCCGGCCCCCAGAGGGACTCCCCCCCACCAAGACCCCTGGGGAGCCAGCTGGGTAGGCAGGACCACCTCGGCCACATGTCCCAAAGCCCCCTGCTCGGCACCCACGTCGCGCCTCCCAGGCATGGCACCCCGGCCAGCGCCCCCACCCGTAACGTTGTCCCCCTCTTCAAGACAGTGAGGCGGGACAGTCCCGACAGGCTCCGGCCGGCCAGCCAGGCAGACAGCAGCCCGTACGGCTGGGGGGGAGCGCCCACGCCCGAGGCCCAGGCGGCTCACAGGTGAGTCTGGGTGCCGGTGCGGGAAGGGAAGGGAAGGGAAGGGAAGGGAAGGGAAGTCAGCAGGGGCCAAATGCATCAACCAAGCAGGCCATTTCCAAGCCACTTCAGAGTTTGCATTTCGCCACTCATTCTGGAGTGATCTGTCATTTCAGACCCAAGTTCTGCTCACGTCGCTATGCTTAAACGAGCGTTTTAAAAAAACGTTTCTGCTAAATTGAAGCTTTCTGAGCACATGTCTACATACATCGCCTCTCAGGCTTTGCATTTTAAAATGCATTTTGCTTATGTAGTTTTGAGCCAAGCACCATGTCTAAACTGCAGATGTCTGCAGTACCGTGCATCCTTCACTTGCTTGCCGGGGCTGATAGGTGCCTCTTCCCTGCCGCCCAGCTTAACACCGCCTTGGGAAACCTTGTGCCTTCCAGGTCTAGGGTTCGAGAGACTATCAAGCCCGGCAAGTATGGCTACGGAAAAGTGCCCTTTGCCTTGCCCCTCCACAAGGACACAGCCGAGAGGAGGGCGCCCCGCTTTAAAAGGCACCAGGGGGACCCGGCTGGCGGGCCGCCCCCACCGCCCCCTCCGCCTCGGCCTCCACTCAAGAAGCAGAAAGGCAAAGCCACCCTCTCCGCCTCCCGTGAGGAGGCTGCCCGTCAGGAGAAGGAGCCGCTGGCCACCAGGGCTGGCCTGCAGGCCCCGCGCCCCCCAAAAGAGGCCCTGCCAGAAGATGGCGCTGCTCGGCCCAGCCTGCGGGTCGGTGGAGGGGCAGAGACCAATCTGGGGCATGGTCGTGGACACCCCACCGATGGAGGTGGCGAGGGGGATGCCTCTCGCCCCACGGAGCCAGGGGTGGCTGCGGCGGGGGTGAGCGAGTCCTCTGGGGACGTGGAGCATCACGGGAAGCCAGCGACAGCCCGTGCCGAGCCCCACGGCAGCGCTCACGAGACGGGCCGGCCCACCGCCCCCGTGGAAAACCAGCCTCTGCTGCAGACCCCGGTGGCCTCCGCACACGCCCACGTGGGGGACAAGGAGGGCCACCCCGCTGGGACGTCAGGGGGCAGCTCGGCCCCTTCGGGCAGTGAGGGTGCTCCTGCAGCCGCCGTGGCCGCTCCCCCCACGAGGGTGTCCTCGCCAGGGGGTAGCCCCTCTCCCCAAGCGGAACTGCGCCTGACTCACCAGGTCCTGCGGAACCACAGCGGCGCTCCCAAGCGGAAGGGGACGGGGACAGGCCACCGGGCCACCCCCCAGCCCTCGCAGCACCAGGAGAGCAGCTCGGCAGCCCAGCCGGACAGGGGGGGACACAGCCACCGCCCTCCCCCCCGTGGGCCAGCTCGATCCCGGAACCAGAGGCAGAACGAGCCCCGGAGCGGTGGCCACGGCACCCGGATGTCCCACAGCCTCTTCGTGGAGCAGCCCCCCGTGCCTCGCCCGGCAGAGCCAGACGTTTGGCTGCTGCACCGGGGGAGCCCCGTCCAGTTCCATGCCGGGGGGCAGAGCCCGCAGGGTGGGGCGCCCCAGTGGAACCTGTACTACCCCGGCACGGAGACCTTCCACTGCGAGGGAGAGAGCAAGCAGTTCAAGGCCTGCCGGCAGGAGGTGAGTTCGCCAGGACGGGCTTTGCAGAAGGGTAACCTGTCCGTGGAGCGCGGGGTAGGGTTAGGCGTAGTTTTTGTTCTGCATTTTCTCCCAGGAAAGGAGGAGACCTCAGTCCTGCTCTAGGAAAGAATAGGTAAAGTGCTGAGGAACAACAGATCTCCTAGTTCACAGAAGGCATTCTGATGTGCTTCTAGGACTGGAACTGTAGGGTGTTTGCTTCGTGGCTTCCAAACTTCCCTGCCTTGGTCCTGATTGGGACCAAATGGTCAGTTGACTCATATGGGAAGCGGGGAATCCTCTGCAGAGGAAGGAGTGGGTGTACAGATGTGATTGCGAATTAAGCAGACAGTGGACCTGTTCCCCTTCCCATCTGGTCACTCGACTGGATCCTTTTCTCGGACTGGAGACACAGTGACCGTCTTGTGATTAGAGCAGCAAAGGAGAAAACTTAATTCCTTTTTGCAGCTTCTGGAAATAACCTTTGGCGGGAAACAGGCAATGGATTTTAAGACATCCAAGATCACCGGTGTGTGGCACCATTCCTCATGGCTTCCACGTACTTTTGGCTTTTCTCAGTGTGGTCAGACAGCTCCAGCAGGTTTTGAAAGTCCTAGAAAAGCCTGTCAAACTTGTTTATCTCTGCACAGCTGGAGCTACGGCCCTCTGTTTAAATCTCCTTGCACTTAGCGGGGAAAAAAGCTCCATCTCTCTCCAATTTCAGCTTCAATCTGTACAATGAGTATTTTGTTGCTGGCCCTTTGAAGTGGACGTGAGGCGAGTCCTTGATTGAACTTCCTGCTGCAATGAATTTCCCAAACGCCCTTTATTGTTAGCACAGGGAGATATTTCGGTGTTTTTGCAAGGGATACCAAAAGTCCCTCTTAGAAAGATTGTCTGGACGATAGCTGCTTAATGGATTTTGCCTTGGACCGCATTCCTGGGACGTGTCAGCACCAGTCCTTCCCCACACTGGCTCCCTCCGGATGTGCCAGAGCACAGCTTCCATCAGCAGTACCCCCATTCTTGCTAGGGGCAATGGGTTTTGTAGTCCGAGGCATCTGGGGGTGCCAGGCTGGGGAAAACTGAGTGACACTGTTCATCGGAATCGTTTTGGAAGTGAGCTAATTGTTCTGTCCTCTCCTCCGATGAAATCCAAGTGGCGCGGTGGATTGGGACCAGGTTCAGTTCTCCACCAAGCCATTAAACTTCGTACACCCCTGTGGAATCAATCCCGTTCTTCCTCTCTTTCTACTTCACATGGTTGATGTGACGATTACGGAGGGAACACCCCCAGTCTGCAGCTTTGTGATCCCCAGAATCGGAGAGAAACAGATGTGCCAAAATCTCACCTTTGCACTTGGGGGTCCTTTTCTGAAACGGGCTGCTGGACTGAAAGGTGTTCACCGCCTTTAAGGAGGAGGGGGCCCTGCTCTCACGCGAGCACCTCTTCAGGTGAGATGGTGATTGGGGCATCCCTCTGTCCACTTCTCCCCCACAGCCCTGCCCGCCCGACCGTCCGGATTCCCGGGCCATTCAGTGTGCTGCCTACAACCGCCAGGAGTTCATGGGCCGGCTTTACCAGTGGGAGCCCTTCACGGACGGTAAGAGGCCAGCCAGCGCCTGCCGGCGAAGGTTGCCCGGGTCCTCCTGCCCCCCAGCAAGCTTCCTTCTCCATAAGCAGCCCCTGCATGGAGGAGTCCCCCGAGTTCCCCATGACAACCCTCTCAGTGGCCATTTGGTGTTTTGCGGCCCGGGGTGGGCAGGGCTGCCTTGGGAGGGTCCCGAGGAAACCACCCCTCTGCCGTGTGCAGAAAACGGGCCACGTTGGCACAGCCTTTCCTCTTTGCGCAGCTGGTTCTGATTTCGCTAGTCGGTGGGGCAGGTGGGCTTTGGGTCACGCTTCTAGGGTGCCCAGGAGTAGCTTTCTGCACAGACCTTCCCCTCTCTCCGTCCTTTTCTGTCACGGGCAGATTTTGGCACCCGCTCCTTGGCCAATCTGGAAATACAATCCCCAGCCTGCACTGGGGGCCTGTGATTCCTCCCCAGCCCAATTCCAAAGCAGCAGCTGAGCTCTCCAGCCGTCTCGCGGGGAGCACAGCAAGAGAGACAGTGCCCCCCGCGCCCGCCCATATTTGAACAAGGAGTTGTGACAGTACCGACCTGCTCATCAAAAGCACTTACATAAGCATCTCTGGAGAGGGCAAAGGAAGGACAAGGCGGCTCAGGGAAAGGGCCAAAGTCGGGCCGATGCCAGGGGTGCCGGCTGCGGGATCGTGGGATGGTGGGCGGCTTGGGGTGGCAAGGGGCCGGGCCTGGTGCAGCTATTTTGGGCCACCTCGCAAGATGCTGCCTTGGAGGCTTCCTCGACCGTCGCTGACGGACTGGTCCCACGCAACCCAGTTCTCGGGGCTGCTGTGCACGACTCGCAGCCGAGTTAGGCAGAGATGAGGAGAAGGGTTCCTCTGCCTCTCCAGCCCAAGCCACTCTGCCTTGGCATCCCGCCCCACTTCCCCTCTTCTGCATTTCTTCATTATTTCCAGAGCTGGCCTGGTGGGTGGCCTAGAACCAAAGCCCTCCTTATCCCGGGAGATGAAAAACCTCTCGGAAGGGCTTCTGCGGCCCAGGGAGAGGGGAACGACCATCTCCCCGGCCCCAAAGGCCTCTTCCGCTGGTGAGGGCGGCGTGTGAGAATCCTGGTGCCCTCTACCGGCAGGCTGGGAGGAAAACGCCGGCTGTTGCGGCACCCGAAAAAGAAACGCCCGACCTGCCAGCCAGAGGTTTTTTTGTCTCCCCGGTGGAGGAAATGGCTACTGGAGAATCAGAGCTAAAACGAGAGTTCTGCTGGGTTCATCACATCCGCCCATGGAAAGTTAATGCCCGAAAAGGACCGGTGCTGGGAAGGCTCTTGATGTGTTCAGAGGCGCCCTCTCCAGCAACCGCATACAGAGAGATAGCAGGCTAAGCGAGCCCCAGCATTAAGGGCACCCTGGTGCATCTGAGCTCCAGCCAGCAGCCCACCCTGACGCGTCAGCGGGAATAATAAACGAGAGGCACCCGCATCTGGGAATGTGGGAACCTGGCGTGGACCCGCCACAAGAGCCCGAATGGGTGGGCCACGGTTCCGGCGTGTCCCCGCCACATGCCTGCATCTCAGGCTACGTGGAAACGACGTCTGTTTTGTGCCGGTGGGGTGCCGCCCGCCCTCTTTAAGAAGGGATTACCTAATTCGGGCAATTGCTGGTGGTGCGATGCAGGCCAGGGTTCGTTGAAGCGGGCATTTTGGCAATGCCCAGCCCAGGACCCGCTGGGCCACGGACCCGGGAGACCTGGGTTCTGCTCCTCCCTCACCTTGGGACGGCCACAGTCTCTCAGCCTGGACGACCTTACAGGGTTGTTGTGAGGATAAAGAGGTGGAGGACCATGTGAAGGGCCGTGGGTTCCTTGCAGGGGAAAACAAGGTGGGATATAAACGCAGTGCAATACCTACCACTAATAAGAATAACAACAACATTCCCTGGTGGATTATTTAAATTATATACCCGCTAAATGGAAATTAACAACTGGTCAACATGAACGGATTATCCGTGTCTTTTTGACAGCTAAAAAACTGATATTGCAACACAGGAAGTATCAGTGCTGACCTCCTCTCCTGCAGTGGCTTGCCAGACTCGCCCGTTGTCAGTATTTGAACGGGTGGCAGAGAGATGTAAACCTCCATGGACACCATTTTGGAGATTTGGACTATGTTTGTTGATGCATACATATAATTACTGGAAAGTTGTGTCCACTGATGTATGCCACTCCATGGATGCATGATTTTAAAAGGGGGGAAATGAAAAAGTTTTGCCCATGTCCACAGATGTCACACTGGGGACCCTGCTATGGAGCATGTACAGAGCGCTTTCCCCTCTCACACAAAGAACCACATCCAGCCCCATCCTGAGACAATTTGAAGTCCATTTAATAGCTCCTTGTTTTCAGATTCAACTTCAGGTCTCTGGTTAATGTAAACCCTGCCTCGTTCTAGCCCAGTTTAGCCCAGCAATAAAAGAGTAGTGGGTTTGTGCATGAAGCCCCCATCCCAGGATTAGGGGAGCACTTAACCCATTCTGCCCCGCAACCTCTTTCGTGTGCACACATGTGAAATAAAACCCAGCAGCAGCTCTCTTGAGCATGTACAGAGAGCACACAGTGGCAATGGGTTCCTGCATACCTGAGACAGCAGATTAAGAGACAAAGACTTTAAGTGTTTTTGACATAACTGAAATGAGGTCGCATAAAGTGCTATCCAAAATAGAATAGACTAGCACTAAATAAGCACGCAGTTAAAAATACTATAAAAACAGATCCTACCAGCGAAATCTGCGTCTCATGGTAGGTCTCCTGGGGAGGCCCGGCCCCCAAGCCTCTCGCTTTCCTCCCTGAAGACAGCAGATCTTTCTGTACTCGTTCCTGTAATTTGGAAATCTCAGATAAACAAGCACGCGTTCCCCGAACCAAAATATTCTTAAGTAAACAGGGCCGGGGTGTGGGGGAGAGTTTCCCAGACAGAGAGATCCAAGCTGTCTCGCGCTCCTTCCCCCCACCCCGCCTGCTTTCCTCGTTTATATTTGGAGCCAATATTTATGTTTTCAAGCATGAAGGGCTGGGGGGGGCGTCGCACAGAAAGACCCTTTGTCCCTCGCTCCTTCGGCAGGCTCGCTCGTCAGGCGTCCGTCGGGCAGGGGTCAGCGGCCCGGCTGTGCTGGAGCGGCCAAGCAGAAGGCTCTGCATGCTGACGGCAGGCACAGCCAAGGGCGAGCTGAACCGGGCGCTCATTTCCCATTCTTTCTTGGCAGCTCCTTTTAAAATAAACTCTGGAAAATGTGCAAGGACCTTGGCTGTGAACAGCCATTTGCCTCCCAGAAGACCAGCTTCTGCTGGGCAGAGGCAACGGGACCCTCAGCCTTTAACCCTTCCTGGGGCCACATCTGGAACCCATTCTTGATGGGAATCCGCACCTATTTCGAGGCTCCGGTCCTAATTCTTAAACCTATAAGCATTGTTCTTGTGCATAGGGGCTTCTACACCATAGGCGTGCAACTGGTTTGATTGTGATTCTCTCTCACTGGGAGAACTCTCATTCCGCAAGGGGGAAGCCACACAAATTTTACAAAATTTTGTAAAGGAGAAAAACGCCAAAGGGCTGCATCGAAGGCCCGTGCGGTGGGAGTGCTGGGTGCAGCGGCCAACGAAAAATTCTCAAAATTTCTCTGGAGGAAATGCAGGATGGCTGAATGACTCTTAAGCCATAACCAAAGCTAGTCATGATGCCAGCTCCCTGTTAATGGTTTGCACCAGTTTCAAGGTTCTAGTCCTTAGTTTGAAGCTTGTAATGCCTACCTTCTTCACTTCTTCATCTTCACGCACAGCCTTTATTTCCACCTGCAGAAAGTCCTTCCGCAAATTAATCCTAAAAAACCCAAACAGAACACAGGACTGTCCAGGCCCAGGACAGCAAAATGCACCAGTTTTCCTATCTGTTTTAAATTGGTGGGGAGGAGCAGTATTTTCATGGTGCCTCACCTCCACCCCATTTTTATGGGTTCTTTTCGCCAGGCCTTAAGATCTTTGCGCAAAAAACATATCGGGCTATCGTTCCATCTTGCTGCAGGAAGTTCTGTGGGTTGGTTGTCTGAGGCATGAAAGACAGAACGTGGGAGGGAAAGAAAGGAGGAAACATCACCTTGGAAGGAAGTGCAGGGCAGCAGAGATTTCAACACCCAGGCTGATGTTTTGGGAAAGGGGGGCCCTGGGATTGAGCCGTGCAGACAAGGTCTTCTGGCCCCCGAAGCTGAGTGCCCCCATGATCTGCCTGGGAATGGTCTGTCGGTCCCCTAAAAGCTTCCGAAGCCACCCTGCTGAATTGCCGCTGCTGCTCTGGTTGCCGATGCAAGCGGCACTTCGCAAGCCTGACCTCTCGCCTTCCCTCCCGCCGCTCGTGTCTTGCAGTGCGGGGCTCCCAGCGCTGCGAGCTGAACTGCCGCCCCATCGGCTACCGCTTCTACGTGCGCCACACGGAGAAAGTGCAGGACGGCACGCCGTGCGAGGCGGCCTCCCCGGACATCTGCGTGGCCGGGCAGTGCCTCGTGAGTGCCTTGCTCTCGCCTTTCCTTCGCGGGGGTCAGGCTGCCGCCCGGGCCCGTGTGCCACCCCTCTCGTCTCTCGCCTCCCCAGGCCCCGGGCTGCGACGGGATCCTGGGCTCGAATCGCACGCTGGACAGCTGCGGCGTGTGCGGTGGGGACCACACCACCTGCAAGCTGGTGATCGGCAACTACAGCGACGCGGACGTCCCCATCGGATACCACCGCATCTTGGAGATCCCAGCCGGAGCCACCCGCATCCAGGTCAAGGAGATGACCCGTAGCCCCAACTACCTGGGTATGGCTGCTGGGGGTACATTTTGCTCCAGCTTCCGTTTGCGCTCCGTGCAAAGAGGCAGTCAGGCCCCTGCCTCGAGTCTCGCCTTCGGGGAGCAACAGCTGTGGTTGCCCCGAACCCCCTAAAATAAAAAAATCTATCTGGACTCTCTGTGGTGAGGGCCAGAGAGCAGAAACCCCAGCGATTCTGGTAGTGCTGCAGAAATGGACAGCAGAGAGCGGGAGAGTCACTCACTTCCATTATGTCCCCGGAGGCCAGATGCAGCTGGCGGAAGGGGGACCATGCTGCAGCTGATCTGGAGGCCATAGTCTCCTGCTGGAAGCTGCCGCGGTTGATGTTGGCCGCCACATGGAAGGCAGGAGTCCTCCCCGATCCAGCAAGAGAGAGGCCAAGCAGCTTGTCTTGGCTCTGGGGTGGCCCAGCCCAGGAGCCCTCTGCACGAGCTCAGAGGCATTCTTTTATTTGTCCAAAGTGAGTCCCAGAGCCCAGGCTTTAAAGCAGGGAGGAGGTGTGGTCCTCCAGATGATGGTGGGACACAACTCCCATGCGCCCTAGCCACTGACGCAAACTGATGGTAGGGGTAGTCCAGCCACATCTGCAGGCCCGTGGGGTTCCCTGCCCAGCCTTCAGGAGTGTCGGCAGAAGCCGTCAGTCTCTGTTTCTTTCACGTTCTCCTTTTTCCGCTCTTCAGTTTGGTTTGTGTTGAACTTTGAGGACATTATGCATGAAAATCCATAAGATTTCATGTGCATCTCATGTGCATTTTTGGGATATATTTCAGCCAATTATACACCTTTTTGTTGAGCCCTTTCACTAATAAGATGCGTTTTTCATGTTGCTTTTCCCTCGGCGTGTAATTTTTGATCAGAGAGCTCCTTTGCGAAACTCGGAAAGCGCAAATTTGGAAGGATAGCAGAGTTTCCGCTTGTTCGTGGGTTGGAATGTCACATGAAGTGGGCTGGAACAAATCGTCTGCCCATCTTTAGACTTCGGTGGTTCCCTGAGCTAGCCCCCTCTCTTCCTTGGTCTTGAGTCCTGTTCCCTTTGCACGGAGGTGGAGGGAAGGCAGGAGGCATTGACGGTCGTGGGTTGGCGGTGCCACTTCGAACCAACCGCGGCTCCACGGGGTTCTTTCTTCCCTCATGATTTCCCAGCCCTCCGCAGCCTCAACGGCAAATCAATCATCAATGGGAACTGGGCAGTGAACCCACCAGGGCGCTATGAGGCAGCCGGCACCATCTTTGAATATACCCGCCCGGGAAGTGACAGCCGGGAAGGCGAATCGCTGCGGGCTGAGGGCCCCACCACGGAACCCATAGATGTGTATGTGAGTACGCAGCGAGGCGGGCCCTGCTGCCTTCGGACCGGTTGCAGCGTTCTACATCCGCTTCAACTCTGATTTTTCTAAAAGAAAATCAAGATTCTAGTCCTTAAGGCTACAAAACCTATTGGTCATTTCGTGTGAAAGCTGCAGAAGCCCCATGCGGGGAACTTGTTGCCACGGGCCATGCCTGGGTGGGCACAAGCTGGGATGGTGTGGCGGGGGCGGGGGGAGGAGGCATCATAGCCCCCACTCCGTTCGGGGCTGGTCTCCCCACAGGGGTTCTGTTCTGGACAGACAAGGTGGCAAAAGTGCAGCTTGTGGGCTCCCTCTTGTCCACAGTGTGGGAAACAGGATGCTGGGGGCATGTGGACGATGGAGTTTGTAGTCCAGCTTGCCTGGAGGTGGGGCAGGTGCTCTAACCCCCTGGGAAGTACCATTCCTTCTGTGGAAGGCTCTTTGGGAAGGGAACGCCAGTCCAAGCAGGGGAGGAATTTCCGGGTGTCCAACTCCCCCCAGCCCTGCACCCTTTGCCCCCTCCTGATGCCTCTTGCTGCCTTCCGCAGATGATCTTCCAGCAAGACAACCCTGGGGTCAGCTACCAGTTCTTCCTGGCCTCGGCTCCGCCAGAGAGCTCCAGCCACGACCTCCGTAGCCCCCAGCGAGAGTTCGGTGAGCCAACCCACCCCCTGTGGCCCAGGAAAACCGCGCGGATGCTTTGGGGGACCCAGAGCGGCAGCTTGTGCGGCAGCCGTGGACGGGGTGGGCCGTGAGACGCGGCTCCTCCGGACTCTTCCATCCCTTGCGGGGTTCTGGGCCACGCTGACGCATTCGGATGGCTTCCAGAGCCCGCTCAGGGCTTCCCCTTATCCTGGGTGCTTTCTTCTAAACTCTGCTCTTGCCAGACATCCGAATGGGCCATTGGCTGAGGCCTCCTGGGCACGGTCCAGGAGCGTGTCCCAGAAGCTCCGTGGTCCAGGGTTCAAAACAGCCTCTGCAGGAATCTCTCCCTGAAAGGCTTCTCTCCCCCCGCAAACCAGGCGCCTTGACCCTGGTCTCTTCCGGCAACCCAATGGAGCCCCCCACCAGCCAGATGCGCCCGGTGCCGGCCGCGGCACGGAACTTCGTCCCGCCTCGCCTCCCGGCGCCGCCCAGCCAATTGGAAAGGGGTCGCCTCCCAGCGCCCCCCGCTGCCTCGGCCAGCCAACCGGGAAGGAGCCCCGGGACTCTGCAACGGAACGTCCGTGTCCCACCGCTGCCGCCCCCCCCGCCTCCCGCCCAGCACGGGGCCGAAGCCCCCCACGAGTTCGCCTGGCGGCGGGTCGGCAACACGGAGTGCTCCGCCAGCTGTGGGAAGGGTGAGTCCCCGAGCAGCCGTGGGCACGGCCCTGACCCGCCGGCTCCCTCGGCAGCTGGTAGACTGCCCCTGGACGTGGAGCTTGCTGTCCCGCTCTAGCCCCTGACGCGTTCGCCTGGCCCCCTCTCCGGAGAGCTGAGGGACCCCCGAGGCCGAGCTGCAGACCTGGACGTCCTGCTTCGACGCTCGCCTCAGCCACGGGCTCCCGAGGCGGCTTCGGGCAGGCTGCTCTCTCTTCGCTTCCGCATGCCCCATCTGCAGCATGTCGCAATACTGACCTACCTTGCAGGGGTGTTGTAAAGATGGCAGCCAGATAATACATGAGGAACCCTTGAAAGATTAACAGTAATAATGTTTTCCCATCTAGTCCAGTGAACATCACTAGACCTCGTGCTGGTGAATTCTGTAAGTTAACGCCATGCTGCATGAAATAATCTTTCCTTTCATCTGCTCTGGTTTCCCCAACCAGCCATTTTATTTAGGACTGGGCTGTTAGCCCAGCTGCAAAGACAGCTCAAGTCCTTGTCCCGTTCTGCACTGAAGACGCATCATGCAAAAATGACTGCGCTTGTGTTTTGACGCGGAGGGGTGCGTCACGCTAAAGCGTTCCCCCCTTTTACGTGGCCGCCGGGCAGAAACCTTGCTTGGCCTGTAGCTTTTGAGATTGCACCAGATATATGATTTTTTCCAACACTTCCACGGGGTTAAGGATTAACTGGCTTTTTTTATTTGAAAAAAAAAAACCAGGTAATGAGGCTGCTGGATTCTTTGGTACATGGCCCTCGACGGTCTTTGCCACGGGCTCTGTTTCTCCTCCAGGTTTCTGGCAGGCGATACACCGCTGTGTCTCTCGCGTGTCCCGGGAAGAGGTGCCGGAGGAGAAGTGCCGCCACATCTCCAAGCCCGTGGCAGCCGATGAAGTCTGCAACACCGAGCCCTGTCCAGCCTAGTGAGTTTCACTCCTGCCCTCCCAAAAGCCCCCCCAGAGCTGCCGCTGCCACCCTCCCCAGGCCTGGGGGGCCATGGCACCCCTTATGACTCTCGCCACATTGGGTCTGGCTGTGTCCGGAAGGGCTGCACTTTTGTTTCGGGCCCCGTTAGGAGCTCTGTTTCCTCACTTTTTCAGCTGATTCATTCTGGCACTGCTACGCAGCCTGGTAGCTTTTGCAAGAATGCCCAGGGTGACAAATCACTTTTTGGCAGAGAAGAAAGCATAGAAACAGAGCGAGTCAGAAGGGGTCTCCCGGGCCATCTAGTCTGACCCCTGGCTCCAGCTGGCTCCACTCATGACATGCCCACCATGTGCATGTCCAGCCTGTCCTTGAACAGCCTCACCAATGGGGCCTCAACCACCTCCCGTGGAAGCCCATTCCACACCCTCGGGGTCCTGACTGTCAGGAAGTGCTTCCTGGCATCTAAATGGAACCTTGGTTCCCTGAGCTTTGCTCCGTTGGAGCGTGTCCTGCCTTCCTCTGCAGGGGAGAACAGGTCCCTACCTACCTCCGTGTGATGCCCCCTCACATACCTGTATGTCACCAACAGATCCCCTCGGAGTCTCCTCCAGGCTGAAGAGACCCAGTTCCCTCAGTCTTGCCTCATACGGCTTTCCCTGCAAACTGGCCACCAACCTTGTGGCCCTACGCTGCACTGACTCCAACCTGGCTATATCCTTTCTGTAATGAGGGGCCCAAAACTGAGCACAATACTCCAGTTGCAGGCGCACCAGAGTCATATAGTGTGGTAGTAATACCTCTCTCGATCTAGAAGCCATGCTTCTGGCTATGCAACCAAGGGTGGCGTTCGCCCTCTTGACCGCCGCATCACACGGCTGGCTCATGTTTAGCCTGCAGTCAACCAGCACCCCGAGGCCCTGAGTGGCTGCTCTCCAGCCACTTGTCCCCTAACCTGTACTAATGACAGCTATTCCTATGCCCCAAGTGCAAGAACTTGCACTTATCCACATTGAACGCCATCCTGTTGTCTCCTGCCCACTTCCATAGTCTGTCCAGATCCTTTTGGATCTGGAGTACCTGCTCCTCAGTTGTGGCCACTGCTCCAGTTTTCGTGTTGTCTGCAAATTTGATCAGCAGACTGTTCACCCCTCCTTCCTTGTCATTGATGTTGGTGTGACATGATCTTGCAGGAAAAAGCCCTGCAGCTCCCAGGATTCCCCAGGCCTTTACCCTGTCTAAACAAGCATAGCATCGTGCCTTCAATCCTGTTTGCTTTCGAATCGCCCTCTCTGCGTTCAAGAGCATCCAAAACTGTCTGCAATCAGCCATTAGAAGGCCAGAACAAGCACACCCCAAAGTGTGACCAACAAAATAACAGACAATTGCAGGACAATAAATGAGGAACTCCCCCCTCTCGACGTGTTGGGTGGCCACTCAGATTGTTCCAGGAAGCGGACGCACTTTTTCCGTGGGTTGGTCTCGTCTTCCTGGCAAGCCCCGGCACCTGCACTCAGCTCACCCTCTCCCCCCTCTTCTGACCCCCCCCCCCGTCCGCTGCAGCTGGGACACGGCGGAATGGGCGGCCTGCAGCAAGTCGTGTGGGATGGGCACCCAGCACCGGCAGGTCCTGTGCCGGCAGACCTACGCCAACCGCAGCACCATGGTGCACCCGCAGCGCTGCGGGCACCTGGAGAAGCCCAACACCACCCAGGCCTGCCAGGTGCAGGTGTGCAGCCACTGGGAGGTCCGCACCAACTGGAGCTCGGTAAGGGGGGCGTCCGGGGCAGAGGGGCCGGGGGGGCGGGCGAGGAGGAGCCCCTGCGGGCCGAAGCGAGTCCAGGGAGCAGGGCCGCTCGCGCGGGTTGCGTGCCAGGAACACCGGTGGTGCAGAACGGGTGTCGAGGGCAGGCACAGCCCACGGCTGGGACAAGGTGAAACGACGCACTCGCTTTCTAGTCAGGCGGGGCGCGAGCCTCTGCTCCACGGACCAGGTCCAGCTCACCTGAGGTCCCCAGAGAGCCACGTCCTGCTTCACTGGACCGAAAGGATGGTTTCCCAGCTTTTGCGCATCCCGTGCCTCATATCCTAAAAGGCTGAGATCTTTTCCTAGCAGTGCGATCTTCACACTGGCATGGGGAAGCTCCTTCGCCCTTTGCCTTCAGCCCCTGGCACTGAAACGTGGGTCCCCAGGGCTTCTTCAAATGGAATCTAGCCCTAAATGGTCAAGACCCCTTCAGCGTGGCCCATTACTGAATCTGTGCTCAAGAAGGTGGGTGAGAAACCAAAGCGCAGCTTCAGAGAGGGCAGCTGCCTGGCTGCAGAGCGCTGTGCTCTGGCCCTCGGGCGATCCGGGTTCGAGTCCCCGCTCGGCCGTGGAGCCACCTGGGTGACTTTGGGCCAGTCACAGACTCTCGACCCAGCCTACCTCACAGGGTGGTTGTTGTGGGGATAAGATGGAGGAGGAGAATGATGTAAGCTGCCTTGAGCCCTTTGTAGGAAAAAGGCAGGATATAAATTGAAACATAAATAAATAAAAATAAAAAAATAAATCCTGCCAGGGAGGGAGAACAAAATAGCCTTCCCCAGGGCCAGTTCTGGTAGAAGAGCACAGTGCAAAGAAATATTTATTTGTTTATTTATCTATCGCATTTGAATGCTGTTCCATAGCCAAAGGCTCTTTGGGTAGCTCACAGCACAAATGCAAACAAAAATAAAAATGATAGTGAACCAAAACCATAAACAAATGGGATTAAAATACAGTATAAGTACAACAAATACATAGAACAGAAGGAAATAAACACAATAAACCAATAACAATAGCCAGTGAAACAATAAAACAATAAACCAGCAGCAAACCAAGTCCAATCTAAAAACAAATATTAAATGAAATGAAAATGAATGAATGTATTCACTCTAAATGAATTCACTCTACATTCATTCACCCTAAATGAAAAATAAAACCGGAGAGCAGCGGATGGGAACAGTCTGCCCTGAAGGCGGATGGGTGGTGAGATCGAGCTTCTGAGAAGGTGCAGTCTATCTGAGCAAAGGGGACTCGGGGGCACTGCAACTCTCCCCTCGCAACCCCCCCTGCTAGTTTTGGAGCCAGAGTCTTTCTTCCAAGCAGCAGGCTCCAAAATGCAACCCAAACCAACCCAGCGATGCTGGAATTCTGCATTCGTGCAAATGCGCCTCCCGTTTTGGAAGCTGAGCTGCCCCTTCTCTCGCCCGCACCCCTTCTAGTGCTCGGTTCTGTGTGGCACTGGCCATCGGACCCGCCACGTCCGCTGTGTGAGCAACCAAGGGGACCTGCTGCACGACGGCGACTGCCCACGCAACCACCGGCCGAAAACCAGCGAGGCCTGCAACATGGGACCTTGTGTCCGCACCTGGTTCTTCAGTGACTGGAGTAACACAGTAATGACTCTCCTGGGGTCTTTCTCTCCCTTTCCATCCCTTACAGTTGTGCCCGTAATGTTAACCCTGTGCAAAGAACCGTCTTTTGCACAGGGTTTGCATTCTGATGTACCCTATCTCTGTTCTGTGTTTAATCACACGGGAATTCGAGGCCCGTAATGCAAAGCGAGCAAGCAAACCCCGCAGCTGTACCGGTGCCCTCGCAGGCCTATAACTGTGGCTCAGTGAACCCCAAGCGCTTCTTTTAGTATCCTTGACACCAAACGATTTAGGTGGGCTGGGGTAAGGCCAGCCCAGGTGGTACGAAGGAATGGAATTCACCTACTTTTCTGCAGCAAGTATTTACTTCAGAATCAAGGGCAGCCACTGAGAAGAGGAGGGTGGCTTTGCAAATAAAGTGCACCTAGAATTAGCTAGCGAGACTTAACTAAAAATCTACGTTCTGACCATAACTCATCACAGTGGCGGGGGGATCCCTGCCCCAGGATCCAGTAGCGTGGGAGTATTTAGCCGTGACATTTACATCACTGGTTATTTTGGTGGGGCAGTCTTTGGTGCAAGGTAAATGTCTTGGACTTCGACTCCTCTCAGCCCCACTAGCACGGCCAGTTGCGAGAAATCACGTTCTAGCAGGGGAAGAGGGAAGGGGTGGGTTTGCAGGACAAGCCTCCCTGCATTTTAAAGGGTGTGCATGTACGGGCAGGGGGTGGGGGGGCGTTCATGCGCCAGGGCGCCAAACGGCAAACGCCGCCTCTTCTCCTCTGATCCCCCCCGTGCCAGTGCTCAGCCGAGTGTGGGACTGGGATCCAGCGCCGGTCCGTGCTCTGCCTCTCCAGCAACGCTAACGGGCAGGAGGAGGAGAACTGCGCCGGCACCAAGCCTGCGGACATGCGGGCGTGCAATGGCGGCCCCTGCCAGCGGGTGGCCCGGTGGTACCAGGGGCCCTGGAGCCCGGTAAGTGTGTGTGGGGGGGGTTAAAGCTGGGGTGCAGGGGGCACTGCTTGCTCTGTACCCCAAAGCAGGGCGGGGCCGTTTTCCCACACTATCGTGATAAACGGGGAGGCGGGGGTGAACGTCTTTGAAGCCAAGGCCACATCCAATTTCGGAGCGCTTTGGGGGTAGCGGTTGAGCCCAAATGCCGTCCAGTTTTAGCTTCAAGCTTTCACTGCGAGAAACGAGGGCTCGGGAGAGCCCAGAAGCCGCGATCGGTGCTTCGGGGAAGAGGAAGTGGGCGTCTGCGGCCCTCAGTTTTTAAAAGAAGGGCAAGAGCTGTCTCGCTGGCTCCAAACTTTGTTGGTTTAGCGTCCTGCATCTGCCAGGACAGCCGAAAACCGGGATAAACCGTGCACTGCGTGTTACTTGCATATGCCTGTTTGCTTTGTGCAAAAAGTCTGCTTTTTTTTAAAAAGCTATTTGCAAATATAGAAACAAACCAAAAGGGGGAACCAGAGAGAGAGAGAGAGAGAGAGCGAGAGAGCGAGCGAGCGAGCATATCACAAAACCGATCTGCAAGCAATAATCATTGGAATTACCCTTCCTGTAAAAGAAAAAAGGATTTAATGTTTCTTTTTCCATTTCAAATACAAAATTGATGGCCATAGAAGACATGAAAATGAAATTTGCACAATGCACACGAGTTGCAAAATCCAGCATTTCTCACCACATAACCTGGGGGCAGATTTGTAAAATGCGTTTCAGCCTCCGTAAACGCGGCTCTGCTTCCCAGTGCTTGTGTGGCCAACGCCTTTTCTCCCCTCCTTTCTCTCTGGGGGACGTCCCGCCCGCCCTTCCCCAGTGCTCGTCCGACTGCGGCACCGGCACCCAAAGGCGTGACATCATCTGTGTCAGCAAGCTGGGGGCAGATTTCAACGTGACGGAGGTCTCGGAGTGCGCCCACCTGGAGAAGCCGCCTTCCCTCCAGCCCTGCGTCGGCACCCTGTGCGAAGCCCGCTGGTTCACCACTGCCTGGAGTGCCGTGAGTGCCAGGGCCGGGCGCTTGCCTGAGGGTCGAAGAGGGCGTGGGGAGCGCCCTCTTGCCTGGGCAAGGGCAGGGAGGGGTGAAGAGGGCCTCCGCCCCGCCCAGATCAAGGGCACCCACAGGGCATGTTCATGAAGCCATCCCACACGGAACGCAGCCGTCCAGAGGCCTTCTGTGCCCATCAAAGGAGGACTCCTAGCCGGGTCCTGGTGCTGCCTCCAGGTTGCCACTTGGGAAGTGCCCGGCCCAAATCCGCTCCAGCCAGGTGCCCCCCAGGAGTGCAAGCCTGCAGAGCCCATCACTCCCGGCCGGCATGGCCTGTGGCTAGGCGTTGTTCAGACTGAGGATAAGACTGGGATGGTTCTCGTCACCAGTGTGTTAATCTGGAGAGCCCATGTATTCATTATGTTTAGACTCTGCCTTTCCGCCAAGTTGCTAAAGGAGAGGCACATGGCTCTACCCCATGAGTCCTCAAACTACGACCCGGGGGCCGGCCCCGGCCCACCATGCCCATTTGGGCCCGCCAGGTGTGCCCCGTGCACGGGGAGGCAGCGGTTGCTCACTCGGAGAAAACGATCTCCAAGCGAGACAGCCACTGCCTCGTGCACCCCCCTCGCGGCGTGTGCCCGCCCCCGCCTGTGCCCGTGGGCAGCGCCGGCACCGCCTCCCCGGCCCGCGCCCGGCACCGGCACCCTTCAGCTGCCCCCTGGTGGGAAAGTTTGAGGAGCCCTGCGCTGCGCCTCGTCCCCGCAAGCCGCGTTCATCGCAGCTCTGTCGGGTAGCTCAGGCTGCGAAGAAGCAGGCACTGGGCCCCCGAGCAGAGGCCCGTACCGGGACCTTTCCAGTCTTGCTCTGATAGTCAAGACTTCAGGGAAGGGAGACCAGCTCCCATCATCCGGAGCAGTGAAGGAGCTGGCTGGGGAGGAGTGGCGCCGTACGCCAGCGCTTCCGAGGGCCCCAGAGAAAGGCTGCTGGCGGCTGGCGGCTGCATCACCCCCTCGCTTGACCTTGCAGTGCTCCAGGTCTTGCGTGGGCGGCGTCCAGGCGAGGGAGGTGCAGTGCCTGACCCAGAACAAGACCCTGAGCAGCCTCTGCCCACCGGACCTCAAGCCGGCCAAGAAGCGCCCCTGCAACGTGCAGCCCTGCCTCCCGGAGCTCGGTAAGGAACGCTGCCTGGCTCCCGTCCGTGGCCAAGCCAGGACCCGAAGCCGGAGGTGGGACTGGGGATGGGGTGGGTGGGAAAACGCAGACCACGCACGGAGTGCTTTCTAGACTGGAGGCGGGGGAAGGGAGAGGTGCGGGACATGCTCAGCGCTCCGCCATCCTGCTTGTGGCGCTCCGTGGACCGGGACGGGGACTGGAATCACACGCCCTTCCCCCAGGCATGGCATTAGACCTCCAGATGTTTGGGCCCGTAGTCCCAGCCAGCACAGGCAACAGGGAGGGAGTGTGGGAGCCGTACACCAAAACACTCGGAGATCGATTTGGATCTGCTGAGCTCTGATCTGCAGTGAATGGGCAAGAGAACTGGCTCCCAGTTCTTTGACTCCATCCTGCCCAGCTCTGAGATAAAGTCCGGGGTCACAAGGAGTGGAAGCACAGAGCGCTTAGCAGAAATGCCTGAAAGGAGAAGAAATCCCTTTCATTCTTGGCACGTGCCTTCTGAAGACCAGGCTCTGGTTCAGGGATGTTGGGGTTCTAGTTAACAAGAAAAGTGGGTCCCATGAACCTGAAGTCTTCCCACCCTGGTGCACATTACCTAAAAACAGGGAACGCACCTTGTTCAGAACGCTGGTTTCCTTCCTCTGGGACTGGTGCGTCATCAAGTCGCCTCGACCCCCCTAGGATGTCTCAATGGCAGATTTTGTTAAAAGAGTGGGCAGCCTTAATTATAGCCAGAGAAGGGGGGGGGTTGATGCATAGAGGAGGAGATTCTGCCCGTGCAGGTGCTCACCTGCGCCCACGAACCTGGGCAGTGTGCTTCCTGGCAGAATGCTCCCGACACTTGGCCACCCGCGGTCACCACACCCCCCTCTCTCCCCTCCCAGACGAGAACTGCAGGGATAAATACCACAACTGCCCCGTGATCGTCCAAGCTCGCCTGTGTGTCTACTCATACTACAAGGCCGTTTGCTGTGCGTCCTGCACTCACGCCTTGGAGAGGCGCCACGCTGGACCGAGCCGGTAGCCCCGGCTGACGTCGGGCAGGTGGGACCCTGAGCTCGCCCCTCGCTTGGATTTGGGGGCACGCTGGACGGGGCTCGCAGCGCAGCGGAGCCGCTCTGGTCATCTGCAGTCCTCCCGCACCACCACGGTGGCCGTGGACCAGAAGAAAGATCTAGGTACTCCCAGAGCAACCGAGGACTGGGCGGGATTCAAACGCAAGACCACGAGGCCCTCGCTCACGTCCCGCACTGCACTTTCCCCGTGGGGAAGTATCCTGCACTGCATGAAGCGTTTCTGGGGAGTATCCGCCCCCACGGAGGACTGAGTGAGAGCAGTGGAGTTGTCCTACACATGCAGTTTATTTTAGACTTGGTCCCCTGAGGGTCAGGGTGACCATTGGCCATTTGGGACTCGAGGGAAATGTTTCTGGCAGGGGCCCACAGATGGCTCCCCAGTTTGATTTTGGCTGAGTGGTGCAGAAGTTGGACAGTGCACAGGGATCTGGGGGACTCTGCGTCTAGCACTGGATCCCCGTCTCACTTCCTGAAGATGCGCATCACTAAGACCTTTGCCCCATTCCGGCACCCAGCTCCAAGCACGCTCCCAGGGGCTTGCCTGGCTCACAGCTGCAAATGAGCAGGCATTTCCCCGGCATCAGCTTAATCCCACGTCAGCCTGACAAGCGCTGCCTGGAGACACAGGCCACGGACCCAACGGCTGTGCAGCCGCAGCGGCTGCTTCTCCACTGCACTTGGAAGCCCTTCCTGTTGTGTAGGCACAACAGCCACAGGCGTGCGGGACAGCACGTGATGGTGGCATTCAAGACGAGGCGCCCAGGCTGAGCCACCTGCATCCTGCGGGCCAGGAAGGGAACGTGTCGGAGGAGCGGAGGATCCTGGTCTGAGGAAGCCCGGCTCGACGTCTGCCGACAAAGAGCACAGCCCTGTAAAAGAGTTGGCAAGTTGCATTTCTGCAAGTGGGGAGCCTCTCATTTCTCGCTTGCCAGCTCAGAACCACGTGGACTCCTGGCCACTTGCTGGATGGGAAAGGTGGAAGTGGCCAGTCATTTACAGCTGTTTTGCTGCAGGGTTGCCAATTATTCTTCCTGCTTGTGCTCCTGCGTCATTAACAGCTGCAGGGCTGGCAAGCATCTGCTCTTTGGCTGTCTACAGGCCTCAGAGGGACCTTCACGTGTTGAATTTCTGTCCGTCATGCAGCCATTAAGCTTGTAGGAGTCCATTCTGTGTGTGTGTGTGAGAGAGTGAGCGAGCGAGCGAGCGAGCGAGAGATTGATTTGCAAGTACCCCAAAATAACCCCTTCCTTCTGAAACAATGGTGCTTCAATGAAGAGAATCTGGTGGGCGTTAAGGAATCAGTGAAGTTTTGCATTACTGTTCTTGGAGAGGGGTGTCCTTTCCCTAAACACACGTAGCTCAGGATTAATATTTCCACCTTTCGTGCTCTGGCAGGACTCCTCTGCCTTTCCATAGTAGAAATTCAACAGGTGGAGACTTCTCTGCATTGTTATATCTTCTGGCAGCAGTAACCACACACTTTGTGAAATATTTAGCCCCCCCAGCTGTTTTTAGCCTGGTAAAGAGTCAGGAGCAATGGCTGAAGAAAAAGTGGCGCCCTTGGTGTTTTTTGACAGATTGGCTGGTTGAATAGACCCAAGTCTGAGAGGCGAAAAGGCAGCCATGGGGAAGGTGCCAGCCAGTGCTGACCCCAAAGGAGCCCCTGCGTCTTCTGAAAGGCCTGAAGGAGGAAAGTTCCCCCTTGAAGTGGGAGAACAGCTTACTGGCTCCTGGGAAGGTGGTTCTGCCCTGATGCAGCTCGTGCTGCCTGGCACTTCGAATGTTGTGTGCAGTTCTGGTTGCCACACCTAAAACGTTGGGAAAAGCGCACAGAAAGGTAACTAAGGGGTGGGGATGATTCCTCCCCAGTGAAGAAAGGTTACGGCATCCTAGGATTGTTTAGCTCAGGAAAACGGTAAGAGGAGATGTGATAGAGGTGTGCAGAATTATGCCTGGTGTGGAGAGATTGGAAGAGGAGGCCTTTTTCCTGCCTTCTCATAGTCCCAATCCCAGCAGAGGCATCCCGTGAAGCTGATGGGTGGAGATTCGGGACAGATCCAAGGAAGGATCTCTTCACATGCCACATAGTTCAGCTGTGCAACGCACCTCCATGAGATGCAGAAAGGGGACTAGACCAGTTCCCGGAGGAAGCCCTCCGTGGCTGCTGCTGCTGCCCCCGTGCTGGGCACGGCATCGGAGGCACGGTGCCTGTGCGCACTGGTTGCTGGGAAAATTGGGAAGGAGGGGGACGTCTGCGGAATCCTGTGGGCAACGGCTTGGCTACGGCGTGAACAAGTAGCTGGACGAGGTGGGCCCCGGGTGCGAGCTGGCATGACTCCCCTTACATTTTTCTATTCCGTGCCCTCCGTAACCTCTGGATTTGGCACTTCCCTGAATCGCAACAGCAGAACAAGGAGCAAAACAAAACAAAGGCATTTATATTAAAAGCATTTTATTAAAATGGTTCAGAGCGTTCAGATTATATATATATATATATATATATAAATATATATAAAATATATATTATATATAAATCTCTATGATAAAGCTGAATGTATCTAGGTTTGTCTTGTTCTCTGCCCACTGCCTTTTTCTGGTCCAAATCTAATTTATTTTTATTAAAGATTATTTGATGGTCACATGTGGTCCTTTTATCTCCTAACTGCCTGCCCTTGTACTGGCAGCTGACTTGGGATAGCCCCGCTTCCCAGCCCTGGCTCTGGCCTCTCAGCAGCAGTGGTGTATCATTTGGGGTGGCGCCTGTCCCCCCCCCCCCTCCACGCTCCCTTGCAGCAAAGGCGAAATTCTTTCCAGTGTGGCAGGTGAGGAGAGGTTTTTCTGAAGTGGGCAAAAAACTGGAATCCCTGACATACTCTCTGCTGTAGTTGTACAGCCAGCTAATGAAAGCGGTTAATGTCTGAGCCACCTGGACCAGTAGAGACCCGCTTTGCAAGGTCTGGGTTTTTCTTCGGGTTGCTAACATTTAAAAAGTTACTTGTGAGACAAATCCCAGAGGGTTGGTGCACCGAAGACACCCAAGAGACTGTGGTACCTCCAGATATACTGGCTATCTGAGGAATGGGCTTAAATCTGTTGATCGCTGGAGTGCCACAGAACCCTTAGGATTGTGTCTGGTGTTGATTCTACGTAAGAGTAGACCTTTTGAAATGAATAAGACCTCAGTAAGACCCACTGGACAACTAAATAAGGCAAAAACTGGTCACAAGCTCAGGGTGTTGTGTCATGGAACTGTCACAGCAAGGCAACTGGGTAACTCTTTATCTCTCCTATATCTTTTTTATTTATTTTATTTATTTATTAAAACATTTTTATGCCGCCCCGTTCGCCGAAACAAAGGAATTTTTTTCTTCACTGGGAATGATGGGCTTTAGAATCTGTCAGACTTGAATGACCTCAAGTTGCATCCTGGCTTCCAACGAATCTGTGACGCGACTACCCCCGGGAAAACAGACGTGGTTCCCACCTGGAAAAGGCACCTGGGGCAGCCCAACTGACCAAGGGGCTGCAGCAAACCCCCTAGGAGGAAAGGGGTTCTGTGGGAAGCCAGTGAGCGAGGGCGACAGCGATATTCGAAACAATGTGCTTTGAAGAGGAAGTGGGTCAGGATACACAGCACTTTCAACCCAGTGGAGTCAAATCTGACACAGCCAAAAGGGGGGCATTCAGGACGGGAAAAAGGAAGGCCTTCTTCACAGTGTGGGATCCAGCTACGGCTGCCCCATCTTGGCACTACAACCCCCATTGTTCCCAGCTGGCTAGGAATGGTGGGTGTTGCAGACCAGCACCTTTGCTAAGGGTGTGCATGCCACCCTTGGGGGGAGTCCTGACTGAAATTTGAACCCTGCGATGCAGCCACTGGCTTGGACCGTGTTAGAAGAAAACCGTAGGTTATTGGCCATTAGCTTGGCCCTCCCACTGTTTTGGGCTGAGCACCTGAGCATGGGGCTGCCTTGTGGGCAGCTTGCCCATTTCTGGAAGAGCGCATGTGGCTACGGAGAGGGGCCTTCAAGCTTTCTGGCAGGGCTCTTTCATCCATACTCAAAGTGCATCTCAGACATGCTCCAGCAGAGGGCACTTGGGTCCCACGGCAGAACCTCCAGGCCTGACCTGATTAGAACCATTCTAATCGCTAAAGAGCATTATATAGCGGCATTTTATGCAGGAAGCTGAAGGGGGGAGGGCATTGCGTGGGTCGCCTTCTGCCCCAGCGGGGGATTAACCCTGGCCTGGATTTTGCGCAAGACAGAAGGGTGCCACTCTGTCATGGAGACCCTGCCATGCTTTTGACAGTCCCCTTCACTCGGGACTGGAGATCCTGCTTACTGGAGCTGATGGGAGTCAAATCCCAAGGCAGCGTGGCAAAGGCTGGATGATGTGACGGGAAGTTGGCATCCCGACGGTGTGGAATCATTCTAGTCGGCTGTCGGCTGGTCAGGTCCATCTGGAGTACCATATTTGGTTCTGGGTGGCACCACGTTTAGCATGGCAATAAGGAGCATGGGTGCAGGAGTCCGCAAACCCCCGAAGGGCCACCATGCAGCGGGGGGAGCAAAAATGTTACCTGTTGTGGAAGGGGCAGCTGGCAGGAAGTGGATTTTGGCTGGACTTCCAAGCAGGCTGCTTCAGGAGGTCGTGGGCTTTTCTCCTCTGCAAGCCGAGGCTGGTCGGGGTTGCTCCGGGCTGCAGCAGCTCAGGACCAGTCTTTGCTGCCTACTTCTTCTGCATCGGCTTCAGAGTCCTTGTGCATGCTCAGTAATCCAGTCTTCCCCAGCCTGGTGCCTTGCAGCAGTTTAAACTACAACTCCCACTGTCCCCATGCTGGCTGGGGGATTTGGGAATTGTAGTCAAAAGCACTTGCAAACCCTTGACTCGGGAAAGGCTACTGTGGAAAGTGCGGTCTGTTTCGGGGTGCTAGTGATCCTCCTCTGCTCCCCCAGTTCCTAAATCAACTTTGGAGGCTGATGGAGCAGCAACCTTCTGCAGACCTGCCTTCAAGGAAGCCCTCTTGCACACGGTAGGATGGATGTATTTGAATTCTGTTATTCAGCCAAAAAGGCTCCTGAGGCAGCTTGAATACTGTTAGTAAAAACAAGAAGCTGCCTGCCCGCAATCTGGGAAAGGGAAAAGGGGATGGGGCAGGAAGAGGAGAAATGAGGGACTTTTTCAATTGAGCAGAGGGATTGGCCCCGCTTGCCCCTCTCATCTCCCGCAGTACAGCCTACTTCCGAGCACATGAGTGGACAGAAAAGCTGCAACCTCCTACAAACCTACCTGCGGGCAGAGAAGCGCAAGATCGGGCTGCAAGAATCGCGGATCTTGCCTGCAAGTAACCTCCTTCACAGCTCCGACACTTCTGTGTAAGCACGCGCGGGATCGGGTTGCAAAGCTCCTATCCCGTGCAAACGTTCTCCGCAAGCTTAGTCCCGCTGCATGCACCGGGACATAATTCTCACGAGATGCGAGCAGGCGTGGGCACTCCCGTGCGAATGCACCCGCGAGGACGCCCCTTTGCTCTTGAGTAACCCCCTCCCCCCCCCCCGAGCGAGCGGGTCCGCTTGCGCCGCAGCCGCGCGCCAGGAGAAGGATGGGGCGAGCCGGGGAAAGGCGCATGCGCGCCGCCGCTCCAGCGCCCTCTCCGGGCAGGCACTGCCGCGGACACCTACGGCCTGCCTCCGTTGCTGCCGCCGGGCGCCGCGACGGGTCCTTCGCTGCCTCATATTGCGGAGAGAAGAAGAAAAAGAAAGCAAGGAAGGAAGCGAGCGAGCGGAGAGGGAAGCCCGGCGCGTCTCTGTGGGGAAACGGGGCCACTCCTCGCGGGGTCCCTGCCCCTGGCGTGCGGGAGGCCTTCCAGGCAGCGCGGCGGGCAGCCCCGGCGCTGGGCCTCGGCGCCGCACAGGAGGCGGGAGGGGCTCCGTGGGGCGCCCCGCTCGGCCGGCCTCGTCTCCCATGGGCCCGGCTGGAGGTGAGGAGGAGGCGCCGCGAGGCAAGGCAAGGCACGGCAGGCACCGCCGCTGGCACCCTTCCCCCGGGCGACTACCCCGCGGCCCCCGCGCCCCTTGCACCGGGGGCTCATGGGAGATTCCGCCCCCCCCC